TGGTAATGCAGAGTCTGGTTGGAAAGTACCGTCTTCAACCAGGGGAAACAACACTCCTGAAATGTAAGAAAACACAAAATTAATTCAAAAGAGTTAAAACATGACACATTCATTTTCAGCTCCTTATTTTTATTCTTGGACTATTTTGTATATTCTACTTTAACAGTGTACATCTGATTGGTGCAGCCAGTTAGTTCATCCACTGTCAGGTACTTCATTCAGCTGCCTTTAAAGAAAGTTCCTAATCCCAGTCAGAAACCAGCTGCACTGCTATGGACTGTAGCTGCCAGTGCTTGTTGTTCTCTTATGGAGATTCTGTGCAAGTGTGCGAGCCAATCGAACCAGAACTTCAACCATGGAAAAAAAGGGGAAAAAAAGGTCATGTGCTGGTCATCAAGGCTGCAAAGCAAAGTGCTGCTGACACTACTGGCAAAGACTTTAAAGTGCTGGCCCCTACCTGCACCATAGGGCCTCATGACAGTATATATAGTTGGGTTTTTTTTGTTTGTTTGTTTTTTGTTTCTTTTTTAAACACACACAGGAACATGACTAATGCAGAAACAGGACATGAACAGCACCAGCTGCCAGACACTTAACATTCCTATTGAGGTTTCACACATGACATGCACACATTGCTTAAGAGTCTTCTGCTAGGAAAAATCTATTCCCCGACTTGCTGGCAGCGATTCCTGTCGGTTGTTGGCTGTCAGTGGTTGCAAAGTGCTGCACTGAAAACATCCTAGTGATTGCTTTGTTTGCTAGCAGACTGCCAGGGTTGGCTATAGTATATCATGTTGACCTGCAAACAGTCACTGTCTATTAGTTGGGCAGAGGTAAAACATTAAAAAAAAGTGCAAACAGTAAAATTGGGAAGGTTCACTCTAAAGGTAAGCTGCAGCTCTGATACACAGCTTTTACTTTGATGGTTGCATCCATTTCCAATTTGTGTCACACTTCAGTTTCACTACAACTCAACAGTGCTAGTAGACCGTTAGTAGTCTGTCACTTACATTTAAACTACAACCACAATACACTAGCAACCAAAGCATACAGGCTGCTGGAGGTATACACATTTTTCCCCAAGTGACAGGTGGTTAACCAGGGGTCACCGAGTGGTGTCTTGGCCTGCATGACCGAGGCCTTATTTTCTGCCATCACCCTTCTGCCACACACACAACTGATTTTTTCCCCCCTCATGACTAGTGGTTGGCAGATGGCCACCATCCTCTCTGTAGACCTGGATCTTAAGTTGTCACACATCCATAGTGGGATACAAGTTAGCGTCATAGCGGCCCATGTCTGCAAAATCTCAATATCAAAAGTTACTTTGGTAATGAAAGTGATTTGACATTTGAGTGACATTTAAGTTACACCATGTGCGACTGTTTATTTGCCACTTGATACCTTGTCAGTCACTTGTACACCATGTACCGAGTTTGCAGCAGTCTAAACATGTGACTTGTCTGCTTTTACACTATTATCCAAAAAGCTGAGAAGATGACATCTGGTTCATGGACTGACCCATCTACTACAGCTTTGGGGGAGGAAAAAAAAAAAAAACAACTTTAGAAAGTAAAACACATGACACACTCAAAAGCATTTACAACATTTTTGATCAAACAATCTGTGAAGAATCATTTAAGAACTCAGCTTTAACAGAGAATGAGAGCTGAATTGCTTATATTTGCTGCCGACTTCCTGTGAAATCATGCAGGATGCATTCGCTTTTAGCCAATTCCTCCTTCACAAAGCACACAATTGTGACGCAATTCATATTTTATAAGCCTGTAAGAGAACGTAGCATGCTGAGCTTTCCCAGCAAGCAAACTGAAAGCCTGAAGCTACTTCTAAACACAGGTGCAGAGTTTCCCTCGAATGACTTAGCTGTTCCAAATATG